AGTATCTTTAATCGTGAGTATTTTATTTAACTTTGGAGTCATGTGTCACTGAAAGAGACAATCACTGTTTATGGGAAGGGTTTTTGTGTGTGGTGAAACGAACAAGATGTGGTACAGTCCAGCTGCATCTGTGAAGAAATCTAGTAAAAGTCGTCGTGTTGGCCGGTATTGTTTGGGCACCAACTGTTAGGACATCTTAGGAAACAGCAGTATCTACATGATTTGTAGAAAGTGCCATCAGTTTGGGAAGGAAGTAGAGAGATTGCCAAGAGAGATAATTTTCTGTCCATTGTCCCATCAAAGGTTGTCAGCTTTTATTGGAAGTACGGTTTTCTTGGGGAGGTGCTATCAAACAACCGAGAGACAAGGTGTGGAGATGTTCTGTGGGTGTTCTGCACTGCAGTCAGAGCAGCAGAAGCTGCAGGGGTTCTGCCTGAGAGGAGCAAGACCAGCTTGGCCCAAAGCCAAGGAAGCAGAGCTCCTGCAGCAGAATCTCAGCTGCTGCTCCGTCACAGCTGGTGTGAGCTGCTGCCTCGTTTTACAGAGAGCTGCTGTGGAAAGGTGAGACCATGGTCATGCCATTAAAGGCCGTTAGACAATACTTGTAAGAGAAGGCCAAATAGAAGTGGCACAGAATAAGCATATGTTTCCAGATTTGAATTTGCAGCCTATATGTTAAAGTGTATATTTGTGTTTAATATGAAGTTAGCAGGATCCTTCTAGTATCCAGCATTGCCTTTTACCTGTAGTTTTGCCTCTTTTCCCCTCTCCCAGCCTGTCTTGGGTTAAGCAGGACTACGTAATTCAAATATTTGAAACCCAGCTATGGAGAGATGAGGTATTCAGCCCAGCTTGGCACACAGCTCTGGCGAGTAAGGAAACAGACATAAGTCCCCATACTGCTGCAGACGGCTGCACAGAGCTGTGTGCTGAGCTGTGCCCATCCCATGAGGGAGCAGCTCCGTGCTGCACACCAGCGTCAGCTGCAGCCTGGTGTTTTCTTTTCTGTGAAAGCCATTTTGACTGCCATCTGTTTGCATTTATTTCCTTTCCGGCTCTGTACATGACTCATCTGCATCAGGACACAGGAGCAAGGGCAGAGCTGGGCTGCTGAGGAGCTCCTTCCCCTGCTTTCCAGCCCTGGTTTGGGCAGCTTTCTGCAAAGCTTTCCCCTGGCAAGGAGCCATGTGCTGGGCTGCAGGATTTAACCTGCTGGGTGCCCATCATCTGATCTCGATGTCACCTTACAGAGCAGGTGTGCCAGGGCTGTCCCCTTCCAGTGCCATGAGATAGAGACAAAACACTTCTCCATCTGTGAAGTGATAAGAAGATGCAGGAAACCATAGTTCATTCTGGCTTGAGCTCTGCTGTTCCGTGCAGGTTACCCTCAAAAAGTAGAGCCGCAGATCTGCTGCTCCTAGGTTTTAGTTCAATCCAAACCTAATCTTTTCTTCTTTCTCCAGAAGCCCCATTGGCGCCAGCATTTTCTTGTGTTCAGCCATGGGTAGGGGTTGCAGTAAGTGGTTTCCTCTTGCTTCCCTCTGGGATCCTGTGCCCGGGAAAGAGGTTTACTTCCATCTGAGGGTCTGCCTCAGGACTTCATGGGGGTTGTGTCTGAACCATAATGGTATTTTAAGGGACTTTTGTTTTTTAGTAAATTACCCTCCAATAATCTGCAAATCTGGTACCAATCAGAATATGATACGTATCCTCAACCAGTTCCAGTGGGGCTTATTTCTATTACATCTGGCAGTGTGTCCAATGGGAGAGAAAAAGCCTCAACCAGAACTAGCTGCACTGAAATCAACTGAATTTTGGATGTGTTCAGCCTTTTTGGCCAGACTCATTCCAGTTCATGAGAAGTAATTATCTCTTGAGCATCACATTAATATTAAAGATCCATAGGCATTAGTGTTTAGGCAACATACCTTCTTCTCAGCTCCAAAAAAAAGATGTGGGATAATTGATCTGAACATGCTCCAAATGTGCATATGTCTTTATTTATGAATTCCAGTGTGGATTGTTTGGGAGGAAAAGAAAGAATAAGGAAAAGCAGGCAGAAATGTCGATACTTCTCATCTCCCTGGCCATTTATGTGAAGAATGGTTATAATCCCCTGAAAATGAGTTGTGAAAGCTAACAGCGTGTTAATAACATGTGTTACAAACGCAAAATCCCTTTAGTTGGTATTTCGTATTTATACCTTTTCCTCTTTCTTAGATGAGGAGCTCCTGTTGGTGGGAGCACCTGCCACTGGTTTTGGGCAGGATGGTGGCCCCAGTGGCTCCTCTTCCTGCAGTCGGTGTGAAACTACATCCCAGCTTCGCTCTGCTGAAGGAGAAGTGGCCCTTGCAGCACCCAGAGCGCTGTCTTTTGTGGGCTGTCCAGGGCTGCTGGGGTGACCCATCCCAGACTTGGAGGTGACAGTGGCCGTGCTGTGGCCAGGTTGTATCCCCAAGACCGTGTACAATTGCCAGCCAGCAATTATGTGAAATAGTAGGGAAGCTTTTTCCTTACTGAGTTTTTTATTGTGTTCAGCTTCTCACAGTAGGGGAAAACAAGCCTATAAAGGTGCCGCCAGCTTTTTTCAAGTTCTGCACGTGGCGTGGCCCTCCTTGTTTTAACGCCCTGGTGAGGGGTGTCAGCACAGCCCGAGCGGACACGGTATGGCCCAATTTCCTGCAGAGCACGGCGAAGGCCACAGATATCAGCTTCAAAGGTAAACAATTACCTTTTATTATCACACATGGCTTTAGCTCCACCAGTTTCGAATAGCACATAATCACGAGTCTGTGATAACATTTACTCCTGATGAGAGAAAATTTACCAAGTACTAAATTGCTGCTGAGATGACGGGAACACGAGCCAGGCAGGAATTAGCTCCGATGATGAGTCAGCAGACGTTAATGTCTTGCACCATGCTGGATGCATCTGCCGAGCCGTCCAGTGTTGAATCATCTTAAATATTTCTGTCTTACTGCCCCTCCAGGAAGAAGCATCGGAGAACTTTTGTCTGTGTGTGTTATATATGCATAAGCTATTTTAAAATAAATATATGCAGGCATATAACAAGTATATGCGTTTAGGTAGGTAGGTAATTTTCAGCTACGGGAAGGATGAGCAGCCAGCAACTATTTAAAGTAAAACATGCATGGAAATGCTAATAGCAACTGCCTACACTTGGGGTTTGGAAAATGATAGCTTTGCTCAGATGTGGCTTTGATGAGCCTGGGAGGGTGACCTGGCATCCATGCCACGCACACTGGGCCTCCACAGAGCCCAAGTGAGAGCTGCAGGTTCACGTGGTGCTCCGTGTGTCAGAAATGATTCCCTCCTGAACCAATGAGACAGCTGCAGAGTGCTGTGCTCAAGTCTATCACCTCTTCAACTTTTTCCCTTTTTTCCCCATACACCCAGAATGTCAGTGTTGGATAAACGTGGTATCTAGATCCAGTCAAGAACATCAGATGAATTCGATGGAGAGGGGCAAATAACTTTTTAAATGAGATTCTTTTTCTCTGAGGGCCCGCAGTTGGACCATCATATGCTGCCCTTGTTCTGTGGAGGATGTTCAGCAGATGCAAGGCGTGCCATGTAACTGGGGATGCAGACGGGCTTTACTCTGGGCAACACAGCTGTTGCACAAAGGAAGATGTGAAGCTTTTATTTAGTAAATTGTGTTGTATTCTGCTTCATTTATTGTGGCAAAGCAAATCAAGTTGTTCTAAAGCGCATTGTCTATTCTGGCCTTAATGTGTATATATCATTAACCAACTGTATGCATGTGAGAACTGCAGTAATTTAATGCACACCATGCAGAACTGCTTTTCTGTTTTGAAACTCTGACTCTCTGAGGTACGGAGGTCAAAAGTTAATTCTAGTGAGAAATGTGAGAGTTGTCTGTGTTTGCCAAAAGATTGTTGTTTCAGGCATTCTGCAGTCTGAGTCTCGCCACTCCAACTCATGTTTTTAAAATTTTCCCACCTCTCCCTAAGTTTCAGATGCAATTTAAAAAAAAGCCAACAAAACAAAACTCATTTAAAAAAAAAAAAAAAAAAAAGGGCAGCAAAACCAGCCAGTGTTTTAGAAAGCTTAGTGAGAACAGTGCTTGGCTTTGCAGTTGGGGGTGGGAAGCACAAACTGACTGCATGGGACGGTGGACTGGTACAGCCTCCCAGTGCCCATCATCCCTCTCCTGCTCTTCTCCACACTGCCACTGACCCAGGGCTCAGCCTCTGGTCAAAGCGAGCTGGTGGCCATCTGCCATCTGATGGAGGTGCTTCCACTCACCTCCCCTTTTTCCTGGGGTTGGTGCGGGTCCTTGCTGGTCTGAAGACTTCAGGATTTCAGAATGTTTGAGGTGCTTAAAATAGCCCAAAGGAAACAATGTGAACATCCTCTGCTCTGTGAGTTTTGCACTCCAACACTGTGTTTTTCAAAAATTCACACTTGTGACTCTTTTTGAGATTCTCTAAAGTAACAGCTTAGTATTTAATGAACATTAAAGGGGAATTAAATTAATCTAAACAGTAGCTTGGTTTCAGGCTTCTCAGTAGTGGCTGCTCAAAAGTAAGGCAATGTTTTTAGACCAAATAAGAAATCCATCCTTTGAGGATTGGTTTATAGTCCTCCAAAATTTTCCACGGGGTTAATAACCAAGAGAAACGTCCTGGCGGAATGATGGCATTCCTGCTACTGCCCTGCTGTTAGCACGGTGCGTCAGGAGGTTTTGAGTCAGTTGCAGAATTTTTCTTCTACAGCTGAAGGTGACACATCTCCAAACCTAATTGTAAATCTTTCTCCCATTTTTCTTCGCATCCTGAGATTCTTGGGCACAGCGATTAACTCTTGTTGAAGCACAAAATGAAGACTGGAAGTGCCAGAACCTTTTAGTCAGTGATTTCCAAAAACTATGGAATTTCCTGCCCAGCTACATCAGATCAGCCAACAACTTGTAATTGCTAAAAACAGCCTGTTGATTTTCCTCCCAAGTGCTTCAGCTGGCCTGGCTGAGCTTTTCACTTTTCCACTGTCTTGAGATGTTTCTCTCATTGTGCACTACGCTGTATTTTTATGGTCAACATATCCTATAGCAAACAATTTCAGGCTGATGGCGGAAGGGAGATTGGATTCCGATCGGAGATTTGAGCCCGGGACGGGGAGCCAGGAACGCCTCAGTTCCTGGACCAGATCTGCCACTAAATCAGGAATCCACATAAAGCAAAGCCACATGACGAGCGACTGCAGGATGATTTGATTTTCTGTGCAGAGGAGGAAGCGAGTGTTTGAACGCGGCCCTTGCCTTGGCGCACCGCTGCAACCGGAGCCGCCATTACAGGTGGGCCGTGAGCTGGGGCAGATCCCGGGGCACGGGGCTGCGACTGGGACGGCTGCTGTCCGGATGGGGACTGCGAGCGCTCACTGGGGCCGTGCTCAGGCTGGCGTCTTGGTAGTGAATGCAAATAAATTAGCTAAATGCACCCGTATGAAATTTTCCTGCTGAAAAATTCATTCTATAAAAACATTTATACTGTATTCTTTATTGTCAGCTAATCCTGCCCAAACTCATTAAATGGCAGTGTGTGGGTTACTTGCTGTCAGTGAAATTATCAAAGGCATTTTTCAGCTGGTGCACCGGGAAAGCATGTGCTTCAATGCCAACTAAAACAATAACGAGGAAATGTTATGATCAGACTTGACCAAATGACCTTTCCCATTTTAGATTAGTTCTTAATTTCAGCACAAGGGTCATCCTGTGAGAATACTCACAATAAGTCACTGCTCACCTCTCACATGAAAAAGAAGTGACTTATTAGAAATCTCACTGTACTCATTGCAGTTAATGAGATGTGGAAAGCTTTGTAATTTGATTTGCTGGACCATATGCTGTAAAGGGATACTGCTGATTTCATTCCTCCACATTTAATTTAAGCAGTATGCAATGGCTTCTTCGTATGGCTACTTATATAATAAAAATTAACTTGAAGTATAAAAAAAATACACCATTGTGGGGTTTATTACTCTGTGGTTGAGTTTCAAGTGTTTTTCATTGAAACATCTGTAAGTAATGTGTAGGTCTAATTTTAAATCCTGGCAAATATTTTCCATTTAACATTTGGTTTTTACTGACAGGCTTGGAGTGGAGGTTTTCAGAGCTTGTCAGTAACAGATACGCGTTTTCAAAGATAAACATTTTTTTAATTGAAGATAACTGGAATTCAATGCTCACTTTTCCGATCCATCCTGTGTTCCAGCAGCTGCCAACAGCGGTGCAGATGCTCGTCCCCTTTCCTCCAGACCCCTGCAGCAGCCGGCCCATTCCTGCGTGGTGTCAGGGGCTCATCTTCACTGGCAGACTTGGGCCCATGGGGTGATGGTGGGGCCAGCAGGGCCATCATCTGTTCCCTTCTGGATGCCCTGTGTGAGGCATTTCACTCCAGAAGGTGGATGTGTGCTTGGTGCAGGGTGGAGTTTGGCAGGGCCTGGACCACGGTGGCTCACCGTCAAGGCTGTATTTCAGATTATTTGATTTTCGGCTGCAGACAAAATGAAACAGCTTGAACAGACAGGCTGGGCTGTGCTGCCTGTAAACTTGGAGACTGGGCTGCATGGTTGGTGTGCGCTGCCCTGCCCTGAATGGTCTCCTGGTGGCAGTGCTTCGTGAGAGAGATCCAGCCGTGGCTGGGCAGCAGACAGGATGGACATACTGGTGTGAAGGGCCTGTCTGAAAAATGGACACCAAAATTGTTGTCAAAGGAAGCATTGGAAAGCTGAGAATGCCAGACACTCACTGTTTTCAACTGAAAGCAATGTTGTGGTATTGTTTGCAGTTATGGTTAAGGTGTCCATTGGCTCTGAGCAGAGGACTGCATGTGTTCTAACCTGTTGGTTAAATCTGACACCAAGCCAAGAAGTTCTGTTTGGAGAAGTGTGGTGGAATGTGATGAGGGAGCTGGGAAGTCTGCGGCCGTGCTGTGGCAGGGCAGTGGGGTGGAGGTGGCCGTGCTGTGAGGTGGGTGGGCACGAGGGGTTGGTGCCAGGCAGGCTGCTGCTGTGCTGCATCTCCTACCATGTGAGCTCTGCTGGTCTCTCACTGCATTTTAAAAAGTTGAATTCTGCTTCTATTGAGGAATAATAATAGTGAATTATTTCCCTTCAACCAGTATTGTCGTTTTGTTGAACCCTGAACTGCAGCTGCAGAAAATTAGGCCTGGGAGCAGAGGGATGAGCAGTGGTGGGGAGGGCTGAAGGATGCTAGCAAAGGCACTCTTTCTTTACTACTAAAGAAAGCCCATTTCTTTTTGATTTGAAGACTGCCTTTAATGCTTGGTGAATGAACATGGTTTTGGTTCAGCTGCTGTACCAAAGACAAAGGCTCAAGTCAGCTCTTTGGGAGCCTGAGGTCCGAGCCTGCCTTGGGTCAACCATGGCCCTTTGTGCATGGAGCTACAGATTAAAAAAAAATAACAGCAAAACCGGGCTTCATTTTTAACATGTTCCTGTTTTCTTTCATCAGAAGTTTTGAAATGCTTCACAGGAGGTTGTTGATAGTCATAATCTCAACCATCGTGATTTCTCATAAGCACTGAGAAAAACTGCAGCTTTACTGAATATAGCGTCTGTTTTAAATGGCGGGTGGTTCACTTCTTTTTAATAGGAGTTCAAGCACAGAGGCAAGTAAAACCTAATGAAAGTGCCTAGAAGATTTTGTTCTGATACCTCACAGCAGCCCTTGGTTATACTGAAGGAGGAAAAGATTTCTTTATAGCCAGGCCTGCAGAAGCCAGAAATTTAATCTTTCTATACAACTTATTTTATTGCATTTTTAATTTTCTCTTGCATTACTATGACCCTTTTCTATAGCTTTTGACGCCTGGTGCTTAATTACTTATCATTAGCAGTGTACATGGGGGCCTTCCTGCATATTTAGAAATGTGATCATTAGTACACGGGAAGACAAAGACTTCTTTAAGACCGTCATTAGTTATTCTGTTTTCATAGAAATGTTCATTAGAGAAACTACCCACCTGGTTAAATAATTATAATTAAGAATTGGTAATCTCCTTTGCATTTTTAACTCAATCTTCGGGATGTGTGTGCATAACTAAAGGAGCCTTGTTTGGCCATCATACTATCTTTTCTTTTCAATTTGAATTGTCAAGCAGGTTTAAATGCTGTGTTTTGAAACCATATACCCTAGGAATGATTTATGGAAATATAGGTTATTAACAGGAAAAAGAAAGAAAGAAATCAACCCAGCAATTATCTCTGAATTCATTAACTGTGCACTGGCAGTGAGAGGTTGTATAAGCCATTTACTGTAATGCGTGGTATGGAGAGAAAAAAAATGTCACCGGGGCCTGATTTCTCTGTCCCATCGGCGGTTCTCACTGTAGACACCCAGCCTGCTGGGCTACGCTTCCAGAAGGGGGTGATTTCCATTTTCTGATGGGGTATTGCTTGGAAATGCTGACAGTGAATGCAGTTGTGTTGGTTATCCTGCTCGTGGCCATCATGGGGAGCTGGTGGGAAACCCTCCCCAAAGAGGTGAGTGTGCACCCATCCACTGTGAGGCTGTGGGGAAGGGAGCATGGGCACAGGGAGGGCTCGCCCCCATTGAGCCACAGCGATGGAAGAGCTTGTCAGTGGCATAAATATCATCTGTAAACAATTAAGCAGCTACTGCTCATTCAGGGCAGTTTTGAGAAGCAAAGGAAGTCTGCAATCAGTTATATCTCCAATTACCATAAAAATATATTAGCCATTCATTCATTTATTAATGATTCATCAGTTAACCACACATAATGAGCAAATAATTAGCAATGCTGTATGGTTGCCAAAATTGAAGAAGTGTTGGCATTTTAAAGATGAAAGGTTGCATTTATGTAAAAAGTCGGGTGGTGATAAAGTTAATGCAGAAGATAATTATAAAAGTGGCTGTCCTATTTTAGAGGCTGAGGTCCTGCAAAACTTGTCTAATTGAACTGAAATTAATATTCTTCAAAAGCACGCATGTTACGGCATACTAGCTGCTGAATTTACTCGGAGATCTCCCTTCAGTAAGGTACGTCGCACAATACAAGTTAATAAAATGCCAGACAGCAAGACTGCCTTCTTTGTTTGCTTGGTTCAGGGCCTTGTGGAAAACAATAAATTGCATTCATGTCAGCCGAGGCCCATCCCTTTGCTAATTACTGTTTGGTGCTGAAATGACTTCTGTGAAATTGGGAGCATGAAGAAACACACAGCCGTACAAGGGAGGCTTTTCAGACTACAGCAGTAAATGTGAGATAGGCCTTAGGCGCACAGATGTTAAAACAGTGAATTCCCCTACAGATTACACTAATGGAAACCCTGTCAGGGTAAGTCAAATCCGGGGTCTGCGGTCAAAATCTAATTAACGTTCCTGTACTTAAAAAGAATATGAATGCCTGGAGGTGAGGAAGAATGTATAAGAAACTTGCTTGTTTGTAAAACTGCTTGTGCGAAGGACCAGCAGCACCGAACCTGTCCGTATGAAGCAGCACCTGTAGCCAAGCTGCTCGTGCCACATAATGCAGCACCGTGGGGCTCAGCCCCTGTGCACAACATGGCTGTTAGTGGCCATGTCTGTTCCTGGTGGGCACTCCTTGGCATCTCAAAACGTTCCCTTTGTTTGGCACGGTCAAGGTCCGTGTTTGGAAAGTACTCCTAGCTGAAGCTGTAAGACGGGGCCAGCGTCTCTTTGTGTGAGAAATCGGGCTGCTCCACATAGGCTGGGCTTGAGGACACTACTGGGGCTCTTGCAGCGCTTTCACAGCTGCACTGTGCATGGCCTGTGCAATAGCAGAGGAAATTAATTTATAATGCAACAATCTCTTCGTTTTCTCAGCACAAAAATTCCCCAAAATACTTAAAATAACACTCAAAGTGGGACAGACCTTAAATTTTGAATAAATGAAACCCTAATCCAGTGTGTTCTGAAACAAGCTTGTTATTAAAGAAATAAATTTGAAACAGCAAGTGGTTGGAGAATTTTGGATTTAATTATTTAAATCTACTTAAGATAACTATCTAGCGCTGTGTTTGGGTTTCCTGTTGAGAGCATGTTTTCCAGGAAAGGAATCCCACCCAGTGCCTGGCCAGTGTTAACTTCCTTCTGCAACAGTATTTTCAGTAGCAGAGACAAATAATTAATATTATAATAAGGCAAAGCATTGTATGATTATGTAGTGATATTAATTTCCTTGACATGTTCTGCCATGAAAGCTGCATGGAGCTGTGTGTGGAGTGGAGACACTGCCGCGCTCCTCGGCTAAGTGGTACAGCCATTTAGCTGTGCTCCTTAGGTACCTGAGAGGGAAAGTCCCTCTGCAGAGCTGCAGTACCAGTGCAATTGTTAACACCTAGCTTGGGATATTATATGTGGCCATTGAATAGATAAATGTTGAGTATTGGATTTTGTTCATTGGCGGTTGTTGTGCACATGAAGAGTTATACCCGTGGATGTGCGTTTTGGTCAAAATCTATGATGTCGTCTTTAGGATGCAAGATTGCTTCCAAGCATGGCATAGATAAAGAAGGCAACAAATCTGCCTTTTCTTTCACAGGACTGCAACAGGAGCTTGCTGGATCTTGGCTCTCTATTTAGAGTGAGAGGAATTGAGGATGCCCCTGTTCTATGCAAGGCACAGGAGAGGGATGAAAAACAAGGAGGAGTTGCCTGTCTCCAGCCACAGCACAGGCACAGGGGACGGAGGCGCACCCAGCAGCCACTGTGGCGCAGCTGACTTCCTCCACAGCCAGAAGTGGTGGGAGAAAACTCTGGTGCTGAGTCACGTTTCCTTCCTTTGGGCTCATGCTGGGATGGATGGACATGCCTGCACTATGCCAGCAAGGCTTCACTGCATGGCTTCTGCTGGGTGAGTGTGCTGTATGTATGCTATGAATAACATGGATGGTATTTTTGTGTTTGCATGTCCTCACAAGCGAGTTAGCTCTGAGTTCTAAAATACACATGTGTGAGGATGGTGTTTGAGACCAAAACCTAAAGGTCTGCCCTGTTCTCCACATTCAGGCACACTCACTGGCTTAGCACGTGGTTATTAGCAGTTCTTCCTTTTATAAGTCATTTTATATTTTAAAGAAAAGATAGTCCTATAAATATTTTTTTCTTACAACGTAATGCCTATGGTTATGTGTTACATGAGGCAGATGCTGACTTAAAGCTTAGTTCTTGCTCAACAGATCTTTCAGCCCACCAAAAGGGGTTGATTAGTGTCCCCCTGCTGAACCATTTTTTTCCTCTGTTGCTTTGACCCATTGATTTAATTAAGGTCTAATAAAGAGAGGGCTGAAAGATTGTTAAAAATCTTTTCTCTTTTTTTCATGGGTCTGACCTATGCTGGTCCGTTGGTGCGTTTTTGACTTCTATGTGCCCTCTTTAATATGTAAGCATAGTACCACAGAGCTTGTCTTCCTTAGAGCCAGTTGGCTTTTTTCCTCAATGGTAAATCAGATTTAGTTTTGGTTTTAACCAAAACAGTTGCTTTTCTGGAGACTTTTTATTTTAGTTAAGTAATAAAATATTGAAAGCAAGTCATGGTATCAAAAGGAAAGACCTCGGAAAGCTTAGCAGTGACCCTTTCCTTTTCTGCTTCCTTTCTCATCTTCCTCTGGCCAGCAGAGAAAATGAGAGAAATAAAAACTCTGGTTTTGCTTTCCAATTAAATAACAAGAATGAATGAAAGCTTACTAAAAGTTCTTGCTGTTTTTTCAGCTGCCCCTATTTCTTATAACTTTGTGTCTTACGTAGGTCAGTGTTAGCGCTCAAGAACATGCTTCATGCTACTTGCCATAGTGGCATCCTCCTTTTTCCCTTTCCCTTTCCCCCTCCCACCAGCTCTGCAGTCGTTACTCTGGGTTGAGAAGAGCTTTTCTCAGCATGCTAATTTTGCTTCTGAGCAGGCTCATCTGTATCCAGTAAAAGGGAGATTACCACCAATGTGGCCCCATTTCTCTGGAGAAGTCTCCAGTACCGGTGTTCCCTGTGCTTTTCAGTCATACTGAGACTGCGCTGACAGTCATCATAAGAAAAAAGAGTGCAGAAAAGACCAAGCTGCAACTTCAAGAAATGGTTCTGACATGCTTTCTGTCGCTTGAAAGAACAGCATTGCTATCGAGAGTGGCAATTTGTGACTCTGAGCCCTCCTAGACAGCTCTTGTGCTTGAGTTTCCACGCTGCAGCTCATTAGCAGAAGAGCTGCCTGCAGGGCTATGCAAGTTTGCAGAAAAGCAGGATGTGCACTGAAATAAAAACCTGGTTTGTGGGGCTGTGGTCCCGGAGCCGGCTGGGCGCTGGCACTTCAGCCTGAAAGAGAATAAGCCACCTGGACGTTGGGACCACAGGGATGTGACACACCGCTTGCTGGGGGCCATCTCTGCCCTGTAAAGCACTAAAGCAGGTGTATAAATCCTCCTGTGTTCACTGGGATTTAGGCATCTGCTTAAAGTTAAGCACTTGTTTAGAGAGTTTCCTGAAGGAAAGCCTGACAATTGTGCCCAAGAGTAACTTTGAAATTAGTTTTAATTTGCTCATCATAACCAGCTGTCATGAGGCTGTGTAAAAAAGCTGATTGTGGAGAGATGAAAGACTTACCAGGCCCCCAGCTTTGGTGTCAGCGCCTTGCCCAACACCCAGCCGGGTCCAGGCTGCGCCTTCCAGCCCCAGCCTTGCTTGGGACGTGCTGTGCTCTGCTTGGCCCTTCCTGCAGGGAAAGCACCCAGCTGCTGCCCATCTGTGGCAACCTCTGCGGGCAGTGGTGGAGGGAGGGAAGGTCCTTTCTCTATTTAGTTGGAGAGTGCAAAGTGAAGGAGGGCAGAGCAAGCAAGGAGGGTAGGAGCTCTGTGTCCAGGCTAAAGGTTCAGCCAGACTTTCTGCTTGAAACACGGCCAGTGCCACATCCATTTGTGTCACCTGAGTCAGAAACTTTCAAGGCCCCTTGCTTTTAGAATATGTTTTCTTGGTAATCCCTTCTTTCTCACAACAAATTTGGAGGCTAAACTTAAAAATGCAGCAATCAAAGGAAAAATACCCAACACACCCTGACTGCTGTTTAGCTCTATATGTGTACATGGTTTACATGTGTCACTTGAGGCAAGCAGGACTCTGTCCATGTAGCTTGGAGATATCTTACTTTTTGATAAAATACGTGGTTAATTTGTCAGTGGGTTATAGCACCATTGTCTGGCTCTCAGAAAAACTTCATTTTCAGTAAAGATATTTTAAAGCTTTTTTTTGTACAGTCCCTAGGTAATTAATCTGAAGCACACGCACATTTCCATATATCACTGTGCTGGAGAAGTGGTGGCTGATGTAGTAGCTAAGGTCAGGTAGGAACCAGCCATGCATTTAGTCTCTTTTCCAGTGCTTCACTCCAAATTCCCCCAAATCTAAATTAATCTTCCAGAAATGTATAGGAGATTTGGTTTATGATGGGAAAAAAGAGCTTTGCATTATTACCATATCCTATCGGTCTTCCCTCAGCATGACTTTCTGTAGAAAACTTTAGCTGTGATAAAGCACAGAGCCACAACTGCTCCTGCATCTTAAAGCAGATGCCAGTTACATGGGATGCTGTGCAGGGGCATGGGTTATCTCAGAGCAGTCCCTCAGTCCCTTCGGGGTATTCCTTCAGGGTGGAATGGTGCTCAGCCCTGCACTGCTAGGAGTCAGGGGCACGCTGGTGAGAAGGGCCCAAGCACCCTGGGCACAGCTGGGTGTGAACATGGCTGTGCTGCCTGTGCCCTGCCACAGCACTGCTGTGCTGTGATCCCTGCCCCAAAAATCCCCACTCTGGGCTGTGGCTTCCCTTCTCCGCCACCCGAAGCCGCTCCCTCCCTTGCAGTTTTCATTCCTTTCCTCCTTGCCAAGAACGCTGACTCCAGCCTGATCTGAAAGTTAATTTTAACAAATAACATCTTGGGCCGAGCCAAGTTAGGATCTGGAGATAGGACACACTGCGGGAAGGGAGCGGGGCTGGGGCTGTAAGAGAGCATGAACACTCAGTCTTGTAATATGTGTGAGAGCTGATGCTCTCTGAGCAATCGAGTGCTTATTATTATTTCTCTTGGATAGGTCACCTGGGAATGGAGGAATTTTTCATTTTAAATTAAAAAGAAATCTTTTATAATGCTCATTTCTGAAAGGAAAAAGAAGAAAAGCCACCTCATCATGGAAGCAATTAGATGGAGGACACATTGGAAGGAGTGACTAGTTGTTAATTTTTGAGCTGTTGACCCTGACAGAGGGATTTTTTTGACAGTTTTTTTTTGAGGTGGTGTCTTTCATATGCTTACAATCCGTGGTTACTTCTCATTCAATAGCAATTACCGTATATCCATTTTGTGCTAGGGACTGCTCGAGGTGGATGCAGTGGTCCCTGTCAGATGTGTGCCAAATTGAAATGCCAGCAGCTGTGTGAGCAGCGGGATAATCGTATCTGCCGCTTCTTTCTTCCAAGTCCTGGTAAGTGTTTTAGGGAGTAACTTCCCCTTGCCTTGACACGAGCTGAAAATGCAGCCTCTGTTTTGCATTGCAGATCCCAAGTCAGCCGTGTCAAGGTTTGACCAAGAGTCAAGGAGGATAATGGGTCAGATGTAATTAAGAGGCAAAACTACTGGTGAAATAGCTGCACATTTTGGTTTCCTTTATTTCTGCCCATCAGATTACAAACCTCAGTCCCTTTACCACTTTAAAAACCAAATATGTAATTGCAACCCCTGCCTAACTGCTCTATTTTATCAGATGGAACCCAACTAGCTAGACACCACAATAAAAAAAAAAGCACATTGTACCTCAGAAAAATATGGGGCTGAAAACTCAGAGAAAAGACACAGTCTTGTTAAAATATGGATGTGGTCCAGTGATGGAATGAGTAGAGAAACTTGAATGGATTAGAGTCAAAAAACGCTCTGCTTAATTCTTGGGGTTTTTTATTCGCCATTCAGCTTACATCAGTGTTAACATCTACAGAGAAATGCAGCCATTTACAATTTGCCGTTCAATGTGTTACTTTAATTAGTATGAAAATTAAAGGGCAACTATAGGCCAATGTGAATGATTATGGAAATACATGTGCATCACATGCAGTGCTCTCATTTAATTAATCGTCTTGTAAACTATATCGAGCACTTTAAGTCAGCTGCTGAGTATAACAACTCTATTTTAAATAACCGCTTAATACTTAACAGGATGTGGAGAAAACACTGTAGCACACGACCGCTTCTCAAGTTTCAGCGTCTGAGATTTTTTAAAGCTGACCCAAGTCAACCGAAGGAATGTTTAACACCCCGTGTCTGAACACAAGAAACTCTGTGATGTGCAGACATTCAATTACATTTTTTAAAAAGTGAGAAGCGTTTTGTAAAATAGTGACTTTAGAAAACTAATTGGCAGCAGCAAACCGGAGAGTGAAGGCCAAAGTTAGAGGGGAACTTTTATTACAGTAACTCTAGTCAAGGAAAAGGGACATAAAGGCATCTTTGTTTCTCAGTCAAATTATCTGATTAAGAAATAAAACATTTTAACGTGCTTTAAATGCAGCATTAATTATTTATATGAAACAAATTAAAGCCAGGTTCCATGAATTACACTTTGTGTGCGTGAATTTAATGTTACAGGAATAGAGGAATAGTAATCCTTTTACATTCGTGCCTTACTTCATTAGGCAAAATGAAATATTAAGGGCTCCATTCATTCAAAAAATTCTTATGCATTCAGGTCACAGTTTTGCTGTGGCCTCCCTTTTTTTTTTTAAGAGTACAATTTACAGCACTGGTTTTTAACTGATTCAGAAAAAGCAATCTGCTCCTGCAGGATGGGCTCTAATAAATGGATGAGTTTGGGAGAGAGCAAAGGTACTGTGGTGGGTCATGTCGTCAGTGAAAAGGCCCAAAGGATGCGGTGCTGTGAGGGTTCAAACCTGCTTGAGTATAATAGATCATCAGATGCATTGCTGGCAGGGAACCTCTGAACTGCATGAACCCCTTTTCCTGTAAATTGGTCAGTAAATAATATTCCCTCTCATTGACTGTTTGCAGTGACTGGGCAGTGCTGCATTCAGGTGAATGAAGAACAGAGGCTGTTACAGGGGCGTATGTGTTCAGGGATGTACTTTTCTATTTTCCAGACATTCCCATTTCAGCAGTGGTGAGTCCGTGCTCAGCTCCACAGGAGGAATTCCATTGACTGAAGGCATGCTGATGCCTGGAGGATGAGGTTACATGCTCATCAGTCACCTGTCTGACTGCGAACCCACTGGTAGGGCGCTGGTGACTTAATGTGTTGTTTTGCTTATGGGGATGTGAGAAAACATAAGAGAACTCTGATGGTTTATCATTTCTGTTGTTTCTTATTTTTTTGTTTGTTTTTTTTTCTTTTTCTTCTTTCTGTCCGAATGGAGAAACAGCCAGAACTGTGCAGTGGTATTCACCTCTAGCTTTCAAAATATTTACAACATTCACTTAATGTTAAAATAATCATTTTAAAAGAGAGATGGGGGAAAAAAAAAACCCAAAATCCAAGAAAGAAATGACAAAAAAAGTCTTACCCAGAAGCTTGCAAATCGTCAGCTGGCTGAATTTATATAAACTTTTGGGAAATATAGGAGAATGGGACGAGGCGTCAGATGGTTGGGTAAGATTGATGTATTTAATAGTTCAGTTAATATGGATCAACATCTGCATTTGGTTACATCTGCATAAGTGCCTAACTTCAGCAGAGTTGTGCTGTTGGAACCGAATTTGGACCAGTGTTTTTAAATAGGCCCTGGTGCAGAATACCTGCCGAGAGCTCAGCGCTGTTGTGCCCGGTGGCCCTGCAGAGAGGGTGTAATGCAATCTGTTAGTGTTTCTCCTGTAATTTTTAAAACACGTTGAGGAGTAATATATTTTTTTATAATAGGGTACTCCCTGTCTCTTTAAGTAACTGTCAGATGTATGATGTCCTCGTGCCAAAATGCTACGGTCTGCTCCCTCTGAGCAATTGTTAATTAAATCCATCCCTTATTGTAGAGCCTGCCTAGTCTCTTACCCGTTCTGCTTATCTGTGACACCAGATGATGCTCAGTAATTCATGGCCAACATGCTCCCACCTTCAGCAGAGCCTCCTGTGCACTGACCTTAGCCAGCTTCACCTTTTCCTTATTCCCAAAGAGAATGCAACACTGGAGGCAGCAGTTTTTATCAACTTCTCCTGCTGACCAGATGAAGGCTCAGTGATAAATAAATGTCCTCCCATCCACCGCAGCCCCCCAGCTGTCACCGTCCCCCACTGCCCACCAAAATGTAGAGCAATGGGAGAGCAATGGACTGTCCTCAAAGAGGACCATGAGCTGCACTGCCAGTGGGGAAGAACTGCTTCTGCTCATCCAGGTAATGTCGCTGTGTTGGCTGGAAACTCTCCACTTGGTCCTGGGCAGTGCCACCTGCAGATCCCTGCACCTACTGGTAAGGCTGATACACAGGAGCTGGTAGGAATGCTTTCATGGCTGACAAGCTGTTTCCCGTGAACAGTGTCAAAGATTTAAAAGCCACTTCTGCAAATGGGACTTTCTGGCAAATACATGCTAAGCAAATCTTTTATTATTACCATATGGCTAGGAATACTCCCAGAGTTCTCCTGGAAATGGGTACTGTACCAGCAGAAAGCAATATTCTGTTGGCCTGTGCATTGCCTCAAGGGTATTTACCATGGTAATAAGATCAGTAATTCATCTCCTAAAATCACTGGGAGTACAAATGCTTATTTAAGTAGATGGTATCTTGATTGCAACTGAGTCAGGAGAGCTCTTAAAGCTGCCTATTTAGGCTACAGATCTTCTGTTAAAGGCAGAGGGCTGGTAGTTCTTGGTAAACATAAGAACATTGCGTTTCACAGCTACCTCACATTTTCAGCAACTCAGAGTAGATGCATAGTACATCCCTTGGTGAAATGAACTCATACAAATCTGTTAGGAAATGATGCCTCTTGCTTTTTTTTCCACTATTTTTTGTTTGTTTTTTTCACTTTCCATAGCAATGTAATGGGAAGAGATACAAATCTCTCCATCCCCAAATGGTTTGTTGGAAGAAAAGAGGCAGAGAGAAAGCCATCACTGCGTATGTTCCAGCAGCATCTGGAGTCACCTGAACTCCACTGCACTAGGTGATGCAGCACCAACAGAAATTAAGAGGCAGTCTTGGCCCTGAAAGGAAAAATCTGGGGAGTAAAATTATTTACTTTGTCACAGAGTAATCCAGTGCCAGGGAGTCTGCAGACTGAGTGGCCTCTGCTGTGGAAGTCCTGGAGGCTTCCAGGCTCGTCCAACTGCTTTTATTTTGTGTGCAAAGCTGATGAAGAGAAAACGGGTTTTTATAACAAAGGCATACAAATGAAAGTTGAAAGACCTGACTTCTAATCCCAGACTGCTGCAGGAACTCTTCACAGAATGAATGATATGATCCAGAAACAGAGAAATTCATCAAATTGTTTTATTTGAGGAAAACCATAATGGGTCCTCTGAGAATCCAGAATGAGTGCTTATAGCCCTATGGCAGGAAGGTCTCAGGTGGTCCACAGTGATTCACATTGGTGATGTGGTATTGGAGGGGAATCACAGAAAAACTGAGCTAGAAGTGCCTAAACCAGATGTTTTCTAGTTTGCCGAGAAACCTGAGCAAGGATATGTGGCTGAAATGGAAAGCATTAGGCATTTTCCTGCAGAAAGTGCTTTAACTTTGTCAGTACTCTTCCTTTTCCTTACAAATTTGATGAAAGAAATATTAGTTTGTACTCTCCATGTGAGAAATTAAGGATTTTTCAGCAGGCACAATTCTTCCTTGTAAGTCAGAATTTTCGCCTTAATTTTTTTAGACAGACATAGATCATAAACATTTGAATTAACTTTGACCAGTTTGATCTGTTGTCAGATAGAGTATGTATGTAGATGACACCAATACATTTTGGTGAAGTTCTCTGGATTCCACCAGAATTCATAGAATGATATTTCATTATTTAACAGTGCTTAACACTTTAGGTAGCAATCTCCATCCTCAAGCTTATTAATCAATGCAACACCTCTGAAAGGAGCATTTCTATGTATTCCAATTAGAGTGAGAAATCTAAAATGTATGGATGTGTTCTGAAGTGTTGGTCAAACAGCGGAAGAAACCCAGGTTTTGAAATTGGGAGTTTGTGGTTTCTGTCCTCTGCTCAGGCCAGACTCCTGTGGCACACAGGTCTCTTTATGTGCTTAATGCATCAAGCTGTGCTGGATTTAGAGCCACACATCAGCGTGGTGGTGCTCCGACTTCAAAATGTGATAACACAACTGATTTTTATAATTGCTGCGTAGAGGACCTGAGATGGGAACACGGCACGCGGCTGCAATTTGCTCTTTCCAGCTTTAACACTTGCAGGAGCTGGAAGATTAGTTTCTGGTGCTCAGTAAGTAGTGTAGTGCTAAGGGACCTCTGCCTTCTTTCATGCTAATAGGTGTGACAGTGTTGGGTTAACAAAGAGTTCAATCCTGATATAGCAACAGTAAATTTGTCTGGAGTGAAATCTATTGAGTTCCCTCATCTCTTTCCTGTGCTTGCTATTGTAGGACACTTATGGTACTGCTGCTCTATTCTTGTAAGACAAAGAATCACAGAATGGCCAGGGTTGGAAGGGACCTCAGGGATCACAAATCTCCAACCCCCCTGCCACATGCAGGACCACCAACCTCCCCATTTAATGCTAGACCAGGCTGCTCAGGGCCCCATCCAATCTGGCCTTGAGCACCTCCAGGAACCGGGCATCCACAGCCTCTCTGGGCAGCCTGTTCCAGCACCTCACCACTCTCTCAGTGAAGAATTTCCCCTGACGTCCAACCTAAATCTCCCCTCCTCAACTTAAAACCATTTCCCCTCGTCTTGCAAGACAGTGTCAGATGAATGTTTTCTGCCAGCTACAACTTATAAAAAATGTATATTTTATCCAATAAGCTTGATTTAGGAAATGAGGTTTGTTCACTGTTACCACCATTCAAGTGCAGCAAAAGAGTATAAAAGGGTGAAGAGTATAATGAAAGACAAACCATTCCAGTTGGTTACTAGAGGCATATCAGTAAAGATTACTTCCTGCATACATCAAATGATTGATAGCAAGTTTTAAAGCTTTTCCAGTTCTCTGCTAGTGCTATTCAGCTGCAATAAACCACAAGGATTTCTCTTATGCCCTTCCAGATAACCCCCCTCATGCTTCATGTAAGAAGAGCTTTAACAATAGTAAAGAATAAAAAAATCTCAACAAAAAGGTACAGGAAGTTATTGCTTTTAAGTAGCTCAGTCCATTGCTTTTAGTGTTGACTATCTAAAGAATAGCAGGAGAGGAACTGTTAATATGTTGTTTCTTTGCTCTTGGTAAGCAAGCCCAGAGGCCTTGTCAGCAGCCCAACATAAATCAGCTGTTGTGGCTAGCAGCCCAGCACATGCCCTGTTGGTGAGGTGAGATGACCTGGGGATGACCAAACATCTCTGGCAAAAGCTCAGCAAGCATGGCCCCTGTGCTGGTTGCCTAGATAGGACAAAGCAAGGCCACAGGCTAAATGGTGATTTCTCCATCACTCCTACCTATGAGGTGCAGGCTGCAGTCTTGTTCTTACTCCCTGTCTCCTTGATGGCTGAGTTGCTGGTTCTACTCATGAGTAGGGCAGAATGTCGTGGCTCTCTAGGGGAATCCATGTCCATCAGACTCCAAGACCTGGGAAGCACCTTGAAAATACTGAGGCTTATCTGCCTCATACAGACACAGCCTGCTTGGAAATTAGCCCCAGCTACTAGGTCTGGGATTGGATCTGTCTCCAAATATCCCTTAAATTTAAGGGATATTTGTCCTGTTGATGTCAATGATATTTCTACTATTGACATTACTGGCTGAGGGTTCTAACACTGTGTTTTAAACCACAGGGTTGTAGTTTGATCTATATGTAATGTAAAGGTAGGTATTAACTGGGAAGTCTAAATTTCTGGAAGTCTCTCTCTAGTAGTTCTTATTAAATTCACAACTCCAGCATAATGTATCTTTCTGTTCTAATCATAGCATTGCTCTACTTGGGCACGGCACATCAAAGGGGCTACCTTGCTCTTGCAGCAGAATTCTCCTTAGGTTCAGTCACTCTGGGGACCTATACCAAATTTCCCCAGTTCTGTGCACAGGCCAGATTTTCAGCTGCCTTTTAATCTTTGGCAATTTGAATTTATATGGAGAACTTACAGGTGACAGCCTGGCTACATTGA